GACCTTATTGGTCCATAAGGTAGACCTTATTGGTCTATAAGGTAGACCTTATTGGTCCATAAGGTAGACCTTATTGGTCCATAAGGTAGACCTTATTGGTCTATAAAGTAGACCAATAAGGTCTACCTTATGGAGACTTTATTGGCCTCCATAAGGTAATTGGTTGGGGATAATAAAATGAACTAAAATGTGCTAAAATATATTCCTTCCAAAACAGGTTTTGCATCTTACTTTGGAGCTGTTTGTGTGTGTGTGTGTGTGTGTGTGTGTGTGTGTGTGTGTGTGTGTGTGTGCGTGTTCATACCCCTTGCCTGAAAAGAAATGGATGTAGTCACGATGTCGAAAGGTTCGTGGGACAAAACGAATGCAAGTGAGCCCATGGAATCTCTTTAGGCCATCAATGATGAACTTGCGCTGTGTCTGAGCTACAAATTAATTAATTTAATAAATTAAATTACGTTAAATTAATTGAAAATTTTACATAAATAATATTAAATAAATATTAATGTTGTTAATCATCCAGTCGGTTCTGCTCACAGAAGTCAGAGGAGATCTCGTAGGGCACGTTAACAAAGCATCCGGATTTGGGCCACTTGCAGCCTCTGGCGGTGCATGGGTCCGCATTCCTGGTCCGAGTGTCGGGGATGGCGATGTCATCAAGCAGCTCAGGGGTTTCAACTGCAAATCAAACACAAACCCCCAAAAATCAACATCAGTATTAAAATAATGACAAACCAATTAAATTAATTTGGTTTCAGGGAAGATTCAAATTAATTCCGATGGGAAGGAGGGTTATGGGATACGATCTAAACTTTGGCATCAGTGCTAAAAGTATACTTAACTTTTAGCACTGTTTTTGTGTTATTCTCCTACTGTCTTCTCTAAAGTTTAGATCGTATCCCATAACCCTCCTTCCTGTCAGAATTAATTTGAATCTTCCCTGAAACCAAACTATTCAACTCATTAAACGTGAAACCATCTTCATCTGTTTTCTACATTTTACGTAACACAAAAGCTGTTTAGTTCTTTCTGCTGCAAACCAAACATCCAATGCAAACAAGGCAACCTGAATCTTGATCAATTTTGCCACAATGACTTCATCAGAATGTTTCTTTAAATTATGAATATTCAGTTATTACATTGCAATAAAAACCTGTACATTTATCATTTAGCAAAGGTAAAACATTCTCTTTCTTAATCATGTATATTAAGACATGATGCCAGTGAAAACAAAAAGTATTACGGTACATAATTTTATGTTCGATAAACTCACCATCATCCTCATCATCAACTGGTGTGCTCTGCAAAATAAATAAATAAAAATGACAATCATGTGCCTTCTAAAAATATTTTTCAAGGCAAAAGATTATTTTTCTATTAAACAAAATATAAGTTATTACTGCTGTTTTCATTTTGCCTAAATTTAAAATAATTATTTATATTGATTAATTTCCAAGTGCAGATGCTAGTTTATTTTAGCTGAGTTTTGTAATCATTTTCAATGATTATAATACTTTCACTGAGCATAAACTTGAGTTTTACCTCATTATTTCAAACTTACCAGCAGGACATTTGTCACTGAGAACAAAAGGAGGAAGAGGACGGCTGGAATCATGATGAAGGTGACCTAAAGTCAAATCACAAACAGTGATTCATCCACAAAGATGTGCCAAGTGACAAACATGCATCAAAGAATAGGAAAACATTTCAAAGAATCTGCAAAAACAGTTATCAGTTCAGTGACATTATCATGGTGTGTATAGAGAAGCGGAGAACCTTCCAGATGCTGCAGGAGTTTGATGCAGGATGCAGTTCAGGTTCGTCTCTAATCCGTTTTTATGCAGCTCACAGGGAGTGGCTGAACTCCACCGTTTGGGTTTTCACAGGCTTGAAACATTTTAAAACCACCACATTTTCAGAACAGGGAACTAACATCTAATGAATAACAGCAGCAACCAGAAACATCACCAGAGCTGGAAGATTCATGTCACCAGAATCAACAACAGTTAGAGGAGTGAAGTCAATATCAAGTTTGTCCTAAATGAAATCATCACAAGTAAGAAAATAAACATGCAGTTTGATTATCTAAAAAGCAAAACATGATTATAATCTAAGGAAAAATATCTAAAAGAAGAAGTCCTAACTTGTTCATACTGCAAATTTTCCTGACACAAGTCAACGTTTTGGTAATTTAAATCTGATTTCTTTATAACAGGGGGGCCCAAAGTCGGTCCTGGAGGCCCGGCATCCTGCACGTTTTAGTTATCGCCCTGGTTGTAGTAACAACTTTCCAGCTTGTCAGTGTTCCTCTTAGGGTTTTTAATGAGCCATCATTTGATCCAGGTGTGTTAAACCAGGGAGAGAACTAAAACATGCAGGATGCCGGGCCTCCAGGACCCACTTTGGGGACCTCTACTTCATAAGGTCAATGTTCCACTAGCTTTCTTTTTTAAAAGAAAGTCTCATGACCAAGATAAATGGAAAGTGTTAGTTTTTTTTTTTTATCATTTTGTATAGATTTAATGCAACTTCCTCTTTAAGCAACAAACAGCAAATGAATACAAGGAAACTAAACAGTTCAAAAGAATACAGAAGATCCTGTTCAATGCTATACTTCTGTGCCGGGACAAAATGAAAACATATATGTAGTATTTTTTTTATGGGGTTTTATTTATGTAACACTTTTAAATAGTTTCATTCTTGTATCTCTTACCGACATTATAAGTTCACAAAAGAAGGCAAGATGGCAATAATATTGTCAAAAGTCATAACAATGAACACAAAACAATAATAAAGAGAGATAAAAACAACAAATAATGAAATCTTTTCTGTGGTAAGACAGTCCACACATTCTGCTCACCATGGTATTTTTTACCGGTCATAAAGTGAACAGTGAGTATTACTGTGTTAAAAGGCCATGACTGGGCTCCAGCAAATATGACAGCTGGTTTTTAAAACCTTACAGAGGATGTGAGATAAAAGCCCCAAACGTTCTGGATCCATGTGTTAAATGTGGGAGGCTCTGGTTTTAGCCTTCGAATGGTTGTGCATTTCAGTGTATAAGTAGTATTTTAAAAGTAAATCCATTTAAATTATCAACAATTTGGCATTATTAACTCAGCAAATGTTTTCCGTTTCCTTTTATTCAGATTCTGTTCCTTTCTTTAGGGTAATTTAAAGAAGCTCACAAAGGGAAGTTGATTTTATCTTTAGGAGGAACTTGGTTTGCTTTTTCTTAGACTGTGCTCACCTCATTACCACGAAGCACATTTTCATCACTAGATGCATGCAACACTGAAGCAACATCAAGTCCCAGAACATCATCGACGCTTGGTTTCTATATGTGTGAGAAGACATGTTCATGTTAAAGCCACTGCAGCAAAATGCAGAAGTAGAAGTAGAAAAATAACGTTGCAAGATTAGGCTTCTTCTAAAGCAGCATTTCAATCTGGTTGAGTTCTGGTCTTGAGTTCATTGAAACACATTGATTAAATTTTTGTTCAGCTGTTCAGCTCTAGATTTGTTGATGTGTTCTGGATTATATTTCTATTAATGAACCAATTTGCTCTGAGTTTGGTACCAGGTTTCAGGTGTCTGTTTTTGTTTTCAGTTGCAACAAAAAATATATTTCACTGGAGTTGTGCTGATGGGTCAGCATAAGGCATTGCATAGTTGTAAAAGAAAACAACAAAGGCTCCCTCCTTTTAAACATGCCACAGTATGTTCACATTTCGCAGGTTTTTCTTCTTCCATTCATGTTTCTACTGCTTCTAAAAACAGTCCAAGCACTTGTCAATACGTTTATGTTTTTTGATGACTGAAAAATGACCAGTTTCAATAACCTAAGGAAGGTAACTTCACAAATCAGCAAGCCCAGCCTTCACCAAGCAACCCAAACAGATCCCCAGCCCATTTGGTCAGCTGGTTTCCCCACTGTACGCACTGTGCAATGGCTGCTGGAAAAGACAAGTGTTTTGTTGTTGACCTACCATCCAGAAACCACTTGCTGCATTCTTGTTGGTTGTGCAGGAGGCTCCACTTCTGCTTTTCAAAAATGTACGGTTGTATAATTGCACATCTCTTTGCAGCTATTTTCATGTGTGAGTGTAAACATTGACTTGGGGGTCGTGACCAGCAGTACCTTGTTTGGATTTAAAGTGACAGAGGCCCTAAGCAGCTCATTCAGACATGAGTTCAAAATAGGCAGAACTGAGCAGACATAAATCTCAATTTGTGCAATAAATAAATAAATAAATGAATTAAAAAAAATGTAATGAACATTTTTTTGTATCTCCCATGTTGCTATGCTAACCTGTTCAAGGAAGTATATCATTAGGTACCGTCCATTTAGTGCTTTGGTATCTTTTGTGGTTTTTCTTGATATTTTCTCCACCATTTTCTTGTTATACTTCCCTAAAGCTCACACAGCTTCCTCTTAAGCTGTTATATTCACACATTAAGAAAATGACAACACCCAGATTAAAAAAAAGAAATTGAACATGAAACCTGTTTTTTTTTTTTAGAAAACGGTCATGATAACAAAGTTACCATGACTCTCAATGCGGGCAGAGAATAAAAGGAAAGACACTCTGTGATCAGATATTTTGTTGTAGAGGTCAGAGTTTGTGTTTTCTTTTCAACTTTTGTCATTTTTTAACTGCATTTTTATGCTGAAGTTTTTGAACTTTAATTTGAGTAAATATCTGACTGAGACACTTTTACTTATAGTTAATTATCTAGAAAAAAAGCTGAGTACTTTGTCCACTTTGTCCACCACTGAGCACTGGACACAGCTGGCCAATAAACAGAATGAGTTGCTTGATTGCTTGGAATTGCCTCTGTGAGAAAAGGAAGAGCATCACTGGAAAAATAGCAAGTTAATGAACTGCAGGTGTGAAAAATTCCTGAGTTGTAACTGTGAGGCATAAAATATGATAAGTTTTACAACAATTTTTTTTCCCGTACAAATTACACTGTAAAGACACTGTAAAGACCTAATCCCTCAGCTTTCAGTAAAATGTACAATATGCTACCGCCGTAAACACTACAGGGTTAGTGTCAGCATAGATGTAAAATAGAGCTGTTACATGCATTTGTTGAAATTAATCAGTAAAGAAAATTTTACCACAACTTTCTGTTGCTTGAGATATGATACTTTATTGGGCAAAAAAGATGACATAGTTGTGTGCAAATCAGAATTTTCTTACTCAATAAATGCATTTTTTTTTCATTAAAGCCAATAATGATGTTACTTTTTAAAAAAAACTACTGATCAGGTCCAAAATCTGACTCTGACTCGAACCTTCAAAGTCACATAAAGACAGTTACAAAGTCGGCCTTCGATCACTGGAAGAACATTTCCAAGATTAAAGGACTAATGTCCCAGTATGATCTAGAGAAGCTCTATCATGCGATTATCTTTAGTCACATTGATAACTGCAACAGTTCCTTCACAGGTCTGCCTAAAGTCAATTGTTTTTAAGCACTTTGAACTGACTTATTGCTTAAATGTGCTTCACAAATAAACTTGACTTAACTTAAATAAAGAAGCAGGGTTTAATTAAATAAAGTGTAAATAACAACCAAAGTCTTCTGATAATGAAATGATCAAGAAAACATAAAAAGAGTAATTGACATTTTGCAGTAAGAGGAAGGCAGAGATCTAAAACACAGTTACCTATTATAAAACTAGTGCTACTAAGAATTAAGCAGAACAAAAACCCATTTACAATCACAACAGTATAATGCTGTTGCATGATTATAGATTTAACCATAAAACTCATTAAAATGTTTTAAAATTCATCAGAGCTGCACATTTGAATATCTTTCATGTGCTGATGAGAAAAACTGAAACCAGTAAAGGGTAAGTGAGTAGACTGCACCAATGATAAAAAAACTAAACCGCAAAGACCAACAGAACGTCTTGATCATGAGCAGATTTGGTTCTAGAAGTTTTAACCACACAATTTTCTGCAACGGCATGCTTACATGGTTAACTTTAAAAGGTCTGAACAATAACTATTCAGTCTCATCACTATATTAAAAAATAAACACAATCTGGCATATCACAATGCTTAACGCTAATTTTAATTACTGTAAAATTAATGAGTCAAATGTAATTATCTAAAGATAGGCTCACTTGGAAGCCAATTAACAGACTTTGCTGTGGTTCAAATTAAGTTTAAATCTGCCTTCAAACAAAGTGCGACCATTTACCACAGATTCAGTTCAGTCTTAGTTACAATACAGCAGTCATCATGAAGTTACTAATCTTAGTAGCTTAATTTAGCTTTTAATCTCTGCTTTATGTCTAAAATTTGACTTCAGTGATCAACATTGTGAGGTAAAGGTAAAGACAGGGTTTGTGGCAGTAGTGAACCATTTTTAACAGGGAGAAGGACTCTGAGGAGGCAAACTGTCAGGCTGCAAAGCCACTATGTGCTCTAACGTTTGCAACATCTCTATTTTCAGTCTGCATGGCTACCTTTAGACAAAAGCTGGTCAGACTCACATCTTCAACAATCAAACCGTAAGATGTCTGTTGGTGTTGGTGTACTTGGGGATATCTGTAATTTCTCTAAGCATTATTCTTATTAACCTTGGAGGGATTTTGCTTCAAAGCCACAGTGAGTTTTGAGGAGCTTGTTAAAAGTCTGAATAACCCAATAGGTATGTTGTTTTGCTAAAATGTATAATTAAAACATAATTATCCTTAGTTTTGTAATTGTGGCAACATAAGAGCGAACTCTAAATGCAGAAACATAACTGCGTTTAATGAAGTTACTAAATAAAGGTCAGTAACCAAAAAAGGAGACTTAAGATAACCTAGCAAACAAAAAACCAGAACAGATAACATCTCGCAATGACAG